GAGAAGGGTCACAGCTGAGGGCCTGCCAAGGCTACTTCCTGCAGAGTCTTGTTAAGAGAGTTCAGATTTATAATTTGTGAAGGAGAAAGCTGGCAGATAAAATGTGAGAGGAGTGCTTTTTAGAGAGCCCGTTATCTGGGTAAATCTGATTGTTTCAGGAATTTGCCTTTCCCTGGGTTTTCCTACCTGCAACAGAAGGTTTATGCACCTACCTAGACCACAGCCTTACATGGGATGAGACCTGGGCCTTGAAGCTGCTCTTTTGTGCTTTCAGCTTCACAGCAGGCAGCCTCCAGAAGTTGAGACGTCTGACTTTTGTTCCTTATGCCACCGTCTCCTGTCCTTAAGAGATTACTCTTTAGGATGCTCCTACCCTGTGCTGCAGAAGTGGTTCCACCTCTAGGCCTTTTGCAGTGGCCTCCTCACTGTGAGTCTAGCAAGTCCTTCCTTTGTTGAGGACAGTCATAAAACTGCCCGATAAAACTCTTCTTTACAGAGATCAGTCTTTGCAGTCTTGGTAGCCCCTGGGTGTAGGTATGACTCTTACTGTACTGTGGAGACTAACTAGTGAACTGAGGCACAGAGGGGCTGGGCCACTTGTTCAGGGTCACATAGGTTGTAAGTGGCATTGCCAACCCAGACTGCCTCCAGAGTCCTTCCTCTGGCCTACTGGCTGTGCTGTCTCCAGGCTCATGGTTGGTTGCACTCCTGCTGTTGTTGGAAGGTGACTATCCTGTGGCCAGGGAGCAAGCCTTGCTTGTTTTCCGAGTCTGTAGCACATTCTGTTCATAGTAGCAAGTGGGCATTCTGTGCGTTTCACTCATTCCCGTTCTTGGAAGGTGCTGCGGTCGTCTTCCGGAAGTGTCTCTAGGGCGTCCTTCCTGTCAGCCATGCTTTTCTAAGTTCCCAAGGCTGCTGATGGTGACAGACATGTGACACTCTGTCTTGGTGCTACCTTGGCAGGCAAGACCTATTCCTGTTAAAGGCAGTTTGGCTTATAATGGTATTTTCTGTGAAGGGAGTTTTTCTTTTTGAGTACTGGGGATGAACCCAGGGGTGCTCTAACACTGAGCTATACCCCCAACCCTTTTTATTTTTTATTTATTCCAGGTTCTGGCTAAGTTGCCCAGACTGGTCTCAGATTTGCTGTCCTCTTGCTGTGTGCCACTGCATCCAGTGGAAGATAATTCTTTATTCTGCCAGTTAGCTCTAAATTTCTTGTAGAATTTTTAAGGAAACTTTAATCGGAAAGTGGGCATTCTCTAAGGGATTCCTTTAAGTTGGAGGTGGTTTGATTTAAAAATGCATTACTTAGTTTGATCATCACTAATGGTCATGTTTCTATTTAGCTTTAAAACACGGATCTCAATGACTAAAACAAAATTCATTTGCTGAGGAAGTTTTGCAAGTGTTATACCAGTGAGCCACATCCCTAGCCCAGTGGAACCGTTTTTAATCACTAGCTTAGATCAAAAAAAGAGCAATAACATAGGTACATAGGTAATTGACTTTAACCTTTTTTTCAAAAAGATGCCTGGAAGTATATTTTTCAAACCGTTAATTGATCCATTTTAAGTATATATGTTTATTGTGAAAGTGACATCACAGTGCACTTTTAGGATGTTTTTGTTTACCCACGTGGCTTCCTTGTGCCAATTTATGGTTAGTCTCTGTTCTGTTCCTAACTAGGATTCTACTACTGTTTGTAGATTTGCTTTAACACACTTGTCATCTTACCCACTTACCAGTGCAGAGATGTGCTTTATTTTTGGTTGAGTGAAGCTTTGGATTCTAACAGGGGTCGAACTGGGCATACTTTTCCTCTGGTGGGCAAATGTTAAGTACTTGGACTTGAGCCGTTCACTCAGCTGTTGAGGCAGAAACATGACTAAGACAGGAGATGAGGGAATAAGGGGAGCAGCATTCCAGCAGAACTTCATGCTTGCAGACAGGCCCTTGCTCACCCCTCATCTGGCCACAGCAGGGGCGGGCAGTGAGCTGGTGGACTTTTCTGTAGAGATCAGGATCTGTGCCAAAACCAGAGCAGTTTGGCATTGTTCTGACTCATTTTAATGGCTGACATAAGGCATACTTAGTCTCGGGTGATATAAATTGAATAGAATGTGGACTTTGGGAAGAAAGCTAGAGCGTCAAGCATGCTGAATTAGAGAAGCTAGGAATTTGGGAATGAGAGTTTGGAAATAAAAGTCACAGGAAAGGATCTGTGCCTGTAGGATCATGAGCACCTATCAAGAGTAAATATTTATATATATTGACTTGGGGTTTTTAAAAAATATTTTAGTTGTAGGTGGGCACGATACCTTTATTTATCTATATATTTATTTATTTAATAAATAAATGTATTTAATGTGTTGAGGATCGAACCCAGGGCCTCACACATGCTGGGCAAGCAGTCTACTACCACTCAGCTACAAATGCAGTCCCTGGGCTTGGGATTTAAGATGACACTTTGGGGCTGGGGTTGTGGCTCAGAGGTAGAGCACTCGCCTAGCATGCGTGAGGCACTGGGTTTGATCCTCAGCACCACATAAAAATGAAACAAAGATATTGCATCCATAACTAAAAAATAAATATCTTAAAGATGACACTTTGTACATTTAAATATTGGTCACTTAAGCATCACCGAGGACCCTAGCCACTTGCCCACCATGCAACAGTTGCAGGTGGTCCCAGCTGCACCAGTCCTGTTTCTGCATTTCATCTCTGATCCTTAGGATCTTGTTTGCCCTTCACAAAATGGGAAAAATTTGCATCTCCAGTTATAAACGTGTTGTGTTCTGAGTAGTCCTGAAGTCTGCACAGTAGAGGTTGGCAGTCATGTGAGTCTGCCCACTGCATAGAGTGTGGCCTTGTGGTTCTGGGCTGTGGCTCTGTGGGAGGAGGTGTGCTCTGTGTGAATGGAAGCAGTGCCTGCTGTTTGGCTATCTGCTCTCCCAGTCAGCATGTCCCACGCCTTTCTTTTTTCTTCTTGTTGTTCCCATCCTTCCACCATATTTTGAGTTGTTACACATTTAATTGGGATCTGAGGAAGGAATGCACAAATTTTCCAGGGTATCTTTAAGAATTGGATGGTTTGGCTGGGGTGTGGCTCAGTGGCAGAGCACTTGGTGACGTGTGAGGCACTGGGTTTGATTCTCAGCACCACATAAAAATAAACAAACAAACAAAGTTTGGCGGGGAGTGGGTGGGAAGGATTGAATGTTTTTTTTAAAGCCAGGGACTGAAGTGCACCTGGACCTATGCCATGAGACCTCTGCTCTGGGCTGCTGTCCCATAGATTTTTACCCCCCAACCCCTCTCATTTCATCCCTAAGTCCCAAGGCTGGCCTCCTCAGCCCTGGGCCTGGGTTGCCTTAGGGAACAGTGTTCACTGCAGGTTTGGTGTACCTTTCTAGAAGCAGGGCTCATAGGTAAGAGGTGGGTACTTTGAGGAGGCTTTCTCCAGCCTGGGTTCTCTTACCGCCACCCGAGGGACTCTGAAAAACGCTTGTGGTGGAAAAGGACAGTGTTGGACTTTCCCAGATTGTTGCTGAGACACATTCATAAGGGTTTAGGTGGAAGGCTGACATGGGTTCATGTGCTGGGTACACCCATGCTGCAAGAGGTTCGTCTCCGCCCCTTCTGTCCTTTTGTGGCTCATGGACTTTATGCTTCCTTAATCAGGCTTTTGGATCTTGAAGGATCATTCAGGTTGTTAGTAATAGTGAGGGTTTGTGTAAGTAAGCTGCCACTTTTGTGAACCACAGGCTGCTTTCTGACATATTTTTGACCTATTTCTACTATTTAATGCTATTATTTCAGCCCTTCTGGTTAATGCTGTGTAGGGTGAGTCTTAGGCCAGTTTGTGTACTCTGGAATTGAGACATGCTTTGGAATTGTCTGCGACGTCTTTAGGGGTGGAGTTTGATGTTATTTTGGGGTAGTTCAAAGATCACAGTTTTCCCCCTGTGAAGAGATCCCCAGGACATTACGAGTTAACCTGATCAGTTTATATCCAGACTGAATTTCTATAAAAACACATGCCTTTCCTGTGTACCTTTGCCATCTCTGCCTCCTCCCAAAAGCTCTTTTTTTTTTTTGTTTTTTCTTCCCCCACTACCCTCAGTACCAGGGGTTAAACCCAGGGGTGCTTAATCATCAAGCCACATCGCCAGCCTTTTAAAATATTTTATTAGAGACAGAGTCTTGCTGAGTTGCTTAGGGTCTCCCTAAGTTGCTGAGGCTGGGCTTGAACTTGAGATCCTCCTGCCCCAGCCTCCTAAGTTGCTGGGATTGCAGGCACCATCACGCCCTCAGGCAGAGCTCTCTCTCTTTCTTTTTTAATCCAGGGGTGCTTAATCATTGAGCCACATCCTCTTTATATTTTATTTAGAGACAGGGTCTTGCTGAGTTGCTTAGGGCCTTGCTTAGTTGCTAAGGCTGACTTTGAAATCATAATCCTCGGGTTTCAGCCTCCCCAGCTGCTGGGATGGCAGAGTTCTTTTGAGATGCCTACAGTAGCTTGAACTCCTTTATTTCAGCCCAGTCTCCTTTCTTCGAACCCTGGTTTATTTCCGTAAGAAGAAACCTCATTTAGGGTAGTTTGTGATTCTGTCAGTGAAGTAAGATGACGGTATTCTACTGTTAATCAGAAATTAGTAGTAAATTACATATAACAAGTGCTTTAATGCAAGAAAACAAAATAGTTCATAGAAAAAGTTTGAGCTGGGTGTGATGGTGGACATCTGTAATCCCAGTGGCTTGGGAGGCTGAAGCAGGAGAATCACAGGTTCCTCAGCGAGGCCTTTAGCAACCTAGTTAGACCCTGTCTCAAAATAAATAAAAAGGGCTGGGGATGTGGCTCAGTGGTACAGCACCCCTGGGTTCAATCCCCAGTAACCCCCCCCCCCAAAAAAAAAAAGTTTGATGAATGCTGAGACCTGTTTCTTGCTTCACAGTATTTAGAAGTTAATTTTGAAAAGTAGTAGTAACAATGTAATGTGTGGGTAAAGTTCTCAAGTTTTTGGATTTTAAATGATTGATTTTTGGAATAGCTGGTTTTCACCTGTTTCACCTTGGTGTGCCTGCCCCTCCTCATGGGGTGCTCACCTGGGGCTGGGTGATACCAGTCCCAGCTCATCCTGAGGCTAAGGCAGTTTGAGGCCAGCCTCAGCAAAGGATCAGTGATGTGGCTCAGTGGTAGTGTCCTGTCCCCACCCTCCTTCAATCTCCATTAAAACACACACACATGTTTAGTTTCATTTTGTGGGGAAACAACAAGCACTTAGTTGTTGCTTGGGCAGGGTCCCTCTGGCGGGAGCAGTGTAGGGAGGAGTGACAGCTGGGAGCACTGGTCTGAGTTCTTCACCTGGCTCTGCCCTCTGATTCCAGTTGTGTTGCCTGCTCTCTACTTCAGTCCATGACTCACCTAACTCAGAAGAGGGTCATGCCAGTCAAATATGTACACATAGAATGTGTATAGAATAAGTACACTGCATGTGTACATGCATGTGTTACATGTGTGTAATAATTGTGGGTGAAATACACATTCTTTGTGAGTGAGTGATATGAATATGTGCATGCAATTTAAAAGGAAATTGATTTTAAAAGATCTTTGTATTGGCCTTTCCCATCACTCTCTCTCCTTGGACTTCCTTTTTTATTTGCTGATTAGGGTAATGAAGAAGAAAGCAAGCTAGCTCATGATGGGCAGTAGCTGCTGATAGGAACTCAGTAGGGTGGTGATGTGGGCCATGCAACAAGAGCAGGCAGCACTCCGTGTCTGTGTGCAGCATCACTTGTGCACAGGTGGGTGGGGTTTGCCTGACTCCAGTCTGTATCTGCCTGGTGGCTTGTGTACCCCAATCCTCCTGGGGGGTGCTGTTCTCTTTCCTAGCACTGCTAGACCAACGCAACCTATCCAGCCTTGGCCTTTGGGAATGACTGTAGGGTATTATAAATTTCTGCAAGCATTTTTTTTTTAAATGTAAACTTTAGTAAATTTATGCAATTAAATTAGGTCTCCTTAAAGATTATTTGGAGGGTATTTTTTGTTAGTACTGGGATCCAACTCCAGATCTTGTGCATGCTAGACTGAGCTGCACTCAGCTGCACTCCTAGCCTGGCTTGTGTTTTTAATTTAAACTTTGGGCTTACGAGTTTCAATAACATGGTCGGGCATGGTGGCGCGCATCTGTAATCTCAGCAGCTCAGGAGGTTGAGGTGGGAGGATCACAAGTTCAAAACTAACTTTAGCAACTTAGCGAGGCCCTTAGCAACTCAATGAGTCCCTGTCTCTAAAATAAAATATAAAAATAAAAAGGGCTAGGGATGTGACTCAGTGGTAAGTCTCAGTGACATGGTATTAAGTTAGAACATAGATGATGGGGATTCATATGCAGATGCTGCAGTAGGTTTGTGTAGGTCAACACTGTGCAGAAGTGATGGGATTGGAGAGCTGCCCTTGAGTACTTAAGGATCGAGAGACTTTTCCTTTGGATCAGATTTTTCGGGAAGTGCTTGACCTTCCCGTAGGACTGTGTATATGCCAGCTTTATAGCTGAGACTTTATCTTTTTATATTTCTGTACAAATACATGGTTTTGCTCCCTTAGAGAAAAGGCACCCATTCAGCTTAGTGAGTTCCTTTACCAGTTGTCTGCAAGGGCCAACAGGACAGGGCACTTCCCCTCTGAGGAGCCTTACGCTCTTCACCACCACCTGCAGAGGAACTGTCTGTCCACAGGGAGTAGGTTTCACAGGAGCCTGTCAGAATAGCTTGGGAAGTGTGGTAAGGATACATGTGGGGGGTTCTAAGAACTCCTTCCCTGTGCTGAAGTCCTCCTGAGAACATGCCTGGGCTACATGATGAATGGTGATGGGAGTAGAATGGGTTGGCATAAAGGTGAAGGGCAAGCCAGGTGTGGTGTTGGCATACCTGTAATCCCAGTGGCTTGGGAGGCCGAGGCAGGAGGATTGTAAATTCAAATCCAGCCTCAGCAACTTAGTGAGGCCCTAAGCAATTCAGTTGAGACTTGTCTCTAATAAAGTATACAAAAGGGCTGGGGCTGGGGCTCGGTGGTTAAAGAACAGAATAGAACATTAGCCATTTGTTTCTTCTGCATTCCTGGAGTACACTGTGAGCCCTGCCAACCCTTCAGAGGTGGGTAGGGCCTGGTGCAGGGCAAGGAATCCTCCCAGGCAGGGTGAAGTGGAGGCCCTAGAGCAGGGCACAGGACGCATTTCCATTTCATGTATTTTCAGGTTGTGTTTGTTCTCCACTGACCACAGTGCTGTTTGTTGCACAGCCACATTCATTTTCTCTTATGAAAGAAAGTCATTCTGTGTAAAGACGATAATCCATTGGTGGTGGTACATGTTTGGTGATGTGGTGCTGTAATGGGTGAGTTCTGCAAATGCTGGGGAGATGCACTTCTGCTGGGGCAGACCCTTTTTATTTATATTTATTTTTTTGGTGGCTGGCCTTGAACTTGTGATCCCCGTGTTAGCCTCCCGATTTGCTGGAATTATAGGCGGGTGGCATGTGCCACCATGCCCTGCCGTTGATGGACTTGCAGGACTGACAGAATGTGGTGTCTGGGAGGGAAAACCTCACAGAGGTGAGTATGAGGTGGTGGGCCCAGGGAGGCGTAGTCTTTGCAGCCAAGGGTGTCTGAAGGAGAGGGCTCCTAACTGAATGGCAGAAGGGCCTGAGTCTGCAAAGGAATTGAGTGTTGGTTGGTGTGGACTGGAGGGCAGGGTAAGTGGATGCCACAGAGGCGACTGAGGCTGCCCAGAGGGCTGGTGGCCCAGTGCCATTCAGTGGGTACTGAGGGTGTAGAAGGGAACTGCAGGCTGCATCCAGAGGGATGCATAGCATGTGCTGGTTGGTATGTATTAGGGTAGTCTATGTTTAAAAACTCACAACTAGAATGGTAGCCCGAGCTGTAGGAGGTAAAGCTTAGGAGAGATGAATGGCAAGGCTCTCAGGGTAGACAGGAAGATGGAATTACTGGACAAATTAACTATCGGCAATTAGCTGTATGGCCCTCCAGAGGGAAGGAAATGCAAGGCCTGCATATCTGCGAGTGTTCTTGGGGTTGAGGTCTGTTTGGCTGTGAACTTTGGAATGAGGATAGATACAGGGTGCTGTGATTGTTGAGCTGTGGTAGCAGTGGATTGCAGAGCTGGATTGGTGCTGCGGGCTGACTTTGAACATGGAGCTTTGTGGTTGGGAAACTGGCTCTGCCTTTCCTGTGGTAATGAGCTGACCAGGATCAGTTGGAAGGAGGAGGATAACTCACCCAGATGTCTTTGTCAGTTGGGGAAGGTGGCAGGCGCTCCATTGGGGGCAGTTACGATGGGTCCTTACCCAGAGAGCGCTGCTGAGGTCAGGGCATTGGGTGAAGAGGAGCCACAGTGGCACAGAGAACATGAGTGGGAGCTGCAGCTGCTGCTACTACTGGACCCAGAGTGGACAGGGAAAGGGGAACTGAGGGTGTTGGAGGTGTGGGTGCCCCTGAGGGGCTCCCTTCACAGCTTTTGATGGCCTGGCGGCCAGAATTGACCCTATCCCAAAGCCCCTCTTCCCCATGCAGACTGTGTGATGAGCCTTGTTGTTCCTTCTCCTTAGAGTGTAGCTTACGCCTTGGGTGTGCTCAGAGTTTGTATTAGACCTGTGAGGACAACACACATGCTTACTGGGGCCTCAGTCTGGGACAGGGCAAAGGGTATCCCTTGTTGAAGGCACTGTGCCACAAATGCCCTCCAGGCAGTGGATGCATGGCCACACAGGCAGTGTGGGTCTTCTACCCATCTTCCCTTACATTTGTCTCAGGGTCCATTGTTTGATAATGCACCTGACTGGGGACTGATAAGGATTTCTTAACCCCTGTATGAAGTACAATCAGAAAGAGGCCTTTTTAAGGTTAGTGGGACATTTTTAAAGAGCATTTTCTCTGAGACTGATTCTCAGTGTGATCCCCTTTGAAAAACAAAACAACACAAGCTCAAACTCCCTTGTTGCCTGCTGCTCCTTTGCTCAAGGGTGTATGCTAGGCCAGTCTCCCCCCCACTCCCCAATGAAAGCTTTGTTATAAAAAAAAAAAAAGCACTCTATTTTAGTGAAGGAGATGTTGGGCTGTCACAGCAAGGCTTCAGGTGGAAGGCAGGGTTGTCACTGTCTGTCATGGTGGCTGAGCGGGAGCTGGATACTGCAGGCTCAGGCACTGATTCCTGGTGTATTTGGGGATGATCTCTTAGTTTCCCTGGAATCCAGATAAGCTTGATTTTCTCCATCAGTGGGATGACTTGAACATGTTGGTGCTTCATGTTTAAGTGGGTAAAGCACTCTCCTTGCTGTGTTGGCTAATGCTGCACCACAGTCAGACCAGACATATCAGGCCTTAGTTCTCTTGAAGGAATTGCTGTTGATTGTTGCCAGCCCACCCCAGGGAGTGCAGTACACATGTGACCACACACCACGAATGCCTGGACCTACCCAGCACTTGGAGGCCCACAGGACCAGGACTTTGAGCTTTCCAGGGACTGAATGTGAACCTGAGTGAATCATCAGTACATTGGCTGCTGATGGGGTGCTGTCTTCTGTATGTTCTGCCTGTTTCTTTAAACAGTAGTTCCTGAGCTTAAGCCCCACAATGTAGGTTTACTGGTTTCTTGTTTATAACAGTGGATTTCTGTTTGGAGGTTCCAGAAGTAGTTTTGCATTCTGGTCAACCCAGAGGTGGTACAGGATGGCTGCATCCTCCTTGGTTGTGGAGGGACCATGGAGAAGGGGAGTGTGGTAGCAATTTGTCCGTCTTGTCCTGTTGCTCTGGTTGGGTTTCAGGAGTAGTCCAGGCATGGCCGAGGGCCAGGCCTCAGTAGGCAGTAGGGTTGCTGATGTTGACAGCTCACCCTTCCGACACCCACTCCTCAAGAAGGCTGTTGGCACCTTCTGAAACCCAAAGAAAGAATGTCTCCATGTTTAGCTTCTCTTGTCAGCAAGTCTTTCCTATACAAGAAACTTGGGTGAGTTTGTTCACAGTTCTCATTCAGGGAGAAATTATAACCAGAGCATACTCAGGGTACGGAAGCTTATCACAAAGATCAAAACTTTTGCTTGCTACCTTTCAAAACGTAGGGTCTCAATACAGAGTGTTGTTTATTCTGCTTATCATTAAAAAATTGCATAGCAAAATATCCTGTTTGGCATCTTGTTGCTACTTTATGTAGGAGCACAAAAATCACATAGCTGCCTTCCTTGGCAAAACACTTGGACTCTTCATGCCGCTTGTCCCAGCTGCCTTGAGTTTGAGTGTCTCGCAGCTGCACCTTGGACCTCAGCCTGACCGCCCTGAGTGGACGGGGATCCTGTCTTCCCATTTCTCCATCCCTGGGGACTTGTGGATGGTCTGCTCCCTGGGGTCTTGTGGTCGGTCTGCATGGCTCTGTTCAGTCTGTTCTCTGGCAGTGTGCTTTTAGTGGCCGTTGGACTCTCGCTCCACCCCTCTCATGCGCACACCTGCCTCTTCATGTGCCTTGATCACAGACCTTTGCCTTTTATTCACTTAATTCATCCCATTTCCATATGTTTCGATGCAGAGCGGGGTGTTCCCCATCCTCAGAGTGATGTCCCTGGCACCTTGCTCTCCTGCTTGCAGGACCCAGTGGGGAGCTTGGTTTGGGGGAGCCTGTTGCTTAGAGTCTCCACATGTGTGGGTGGTGTTGAAGTGTGTTGTGCTAGAGGAGGATGTGTGCAGTGGGATTGGAGCACTCTGCTGCTGTGTCTTCACTGACTAGAGAGCACCCGGTGCCCTGGTGCTTATTTGTGTTGATGATAGATAAGTTTAATTTGCAGTATTTCACATATGAAAACTTTTCTGGCTAGAGGGGATATTAATATTTATCTTTGTCACAAAGAAGGCACCAGTGATGCTGCATTGGAGTGTTCAGCTGTGGTGACACATGCAATCAGGAGCACTCAGGCCAAGCCTTGAGGTTTGGAGCATTTGCAGGCTGACCAGGGCTGCAGAAGGGAGTGGGGCACAGACCTCTCTGCTGCTGGGGAGACTCTGCATTCCTGGTGGACAGTGGGGAGGAGAGTGGTAGATCAAAAGAGCTGACCTTTTGTTGGTCAAAACCCTCCTGAAGTTCTTTTGGAGAGTCTTGGCTCTTGGAGAGTCCTGCATCGTATAGTCCAGCGGGTGAAAAATAATTTGTTTTGGCTTAAAACCTAGAGATATGGAGATATAGGTGGAGATCAAGGTGGACAGAACTGTGTCCGGAGGAGCTGTGAGTAGAGAGAGGTTTCTACAACTATTGTTACTCAGGACCAGATTTGGGCAGACTTTCTCCAGAAGGAAGCCTGTCTACGGCAGACCTGACCAGAACAATTGTAGAGTTTATTTGGGGGTTCAGGGTTCTCAGTCCATAGACAGCCCAGCTCCATTCCTCGCAGCTCAAGATGAGGCAGAACATCATGCGAAGGGAAGCAGCTTACATGATGATCTGGAAGGAGAGAGAGAGACACACACACACACACACACACTCTCTCTCCGCATGCCAGATACAAAATATACACCCCAAATCCATGCCCCCAGGGACTCACCTCCTCCAGCTAACCCTACAAGCCTGTAGCTACCACTCAGTTAATCCCATCAGGTAAATTAATTCACTGTGATTGTGTTAAGGGTCTGAAACCCAGTCTTTTTTCCTCTAAACCTTGTGTTGACTTACACGGGAGCTTCTGGGGGACACCTAATATCTAAACCATAAGATGACTTTCTGAGATGAAATGTAAGAAGAATGTTCCAGAGTTCTCTACTCCTCCATCACATCCAAAAGCAGTTTTTATTTACATTCATTAACTTTAGAAAACTGTGTAGAATGTTGGAATTGAGTCCTTGGCGAGAAGACACAAACTGGCATTTTTTACGGTACTCCTGTCTGTGGATTATGTCTCACCATTATCTGAAGAGAGTTGTCCTCAGCTTGCTGTACCCCTACACCTGCATGCTTCTGTCGTGTATGCATTTCTTTCTGTCCTTGACAGCTCCTGCAGAGTTTGTACTGAATCTCAACATTATGAAATCTCCCTGAGGAGAATTTCAGGCCTTTCAAACCCCTCTCATATTGTTGAATTCATGTTTATTACTTTTTTAGAAAAAACATTTTGGTGGGATCTTAATCACACCTGATCTTGACTTTGCTTCTACTGCAAGGATTGTTAACTTCTAGACTGAGCTTGGAGTTGTTTAGATTAGATATTGGTTTGAAGTCTGGCAGCTAATGCACTGTCAGGCTGAGATCTTGGGTGACTTCAGGAGAGCTCTTTGCAAAGACAGGACAGCAAAGAGACAGGAGCCTTTTCAAAGAGTGGCCTTTTCAAAGAGTGGCTGTGATTGGCTGGCACTTTGGGGTCTGAAGTAGGTTGCCATATGCAACCTCAGCCCCCATTTAATTTTTAGTTGTAGATGGACACGATACCTTTATTTTATTAGTTTTTTTTTTTAATGTGATGCTGGGGATCAAATCCAGTGCCTCACATGTGCTAGGCAAGTGCACTACCACTGAACCCCAAACCCAGCCCCACCATTTAATTTTTAATTGTGCAGAGTGTGTGCACTTTTTTTTTTTTTTTTGGTGCTGGGGATTGAACCCAGAACCTTGTGCATACAAGGCAAGCCCTCTACCAACTGAGCTAATCCTCAGGTACAATCAGGTCTGTCCTTTGAAATAATTGTTTTGTTTTGAAGGATTTTTTTTTTAAAATGATTTTGCATTTGTTACTCTGTGGCAGAATATATTTTGACTTGGGGTTTGCAAGACCTTAAAAAGGTCTGTGTAATAGAGTGTGTTTTGAGAACTTATTTAGCATCTTCAGAATGAACACACATTTAGATGTTGGCACATGCGCAGCACAATTACTTTATTTTTTTTTGGTACCAGGGATTGAACTCAGGGGCATTTGACCACTAAGCCACATCCCAAGCCCTGTTTTGTTATTTTACTTAGAGACAGGATCTTGCTGAGTTGCTTAGTGCCTCATCATTGTTGAGGCTGGCTTTGAGCTCACCATCCTCCTGTCTCAGCCTCCCGAGCTGCTGGGATTATAGGTGTGCGCCACTGCATCTGGCTAAGAAAGAACTTTATTTTTAAGTAATTGCTATCTACACTCCTTTTTTTAAAAAAAATGTTTTTTAGGTATAGATGAACACAATACCTTTATTTCATTTATTTATTTTTATGAGGTGCTGAGAGTTTGGAGAACTCAATGCCTCACATGTGTGAGGCAAGTGCTCCACCGCTGAGCTACGACCCCAGACCCACATTCTCTGTTTTCTGCTTCCATCTTCCAACAGCCACACTGGCATCAGCATACATGCATTGCAGCCCAGGCATACATAGGCTTACTGTTGGTGCTGTCTGGAGGAAGGTGGGGCCCCTCTGTTTTCATGCCTCTCCAGGTGGGGCCAGGACAATTTCTGCAGGCTCTCCGGGGCCTTTGCCCACATGGATGTTAGAACAGGGCCCTTATTCTGTACTTCATGTTGTCTGTGGTAGACTGCTTTTCCTAGTTCCACTTTTATTTGCCTCTGCCCTGTGGGAACATTTCCACTTTGTACTGATAAAAGTTGTAAGATGTTCATAGTTTAACAACCGAATTCTTTAACTGGAAGCCTGGTGATGTGAATCATCCCATTTTCCCTAGACTACCAGAGAGTAAAAGGCAGGTTGTCTGGATGTGGGGGCAACTCTGGGATTTAGACTTTGGTCTCGAAGTGCTATAATTGCCTGTGTGTCTCTTGATTCTTTACTAGACTCTTCATGCAATAAGTTGTAGATCACAGAGTTCAAAGCTAAAAGCCAAGAGGAGCAAGGTGCCATCCATGGTGGCCTTATGTTCAGAAAATTCGTGCAGTAGGGTGGAGCCTGTTCCCCTGGGGCTGGCACTACCTAGACCTTGGTGAGAGTACAGCTTATAGTGTCTAGTGATTTGGATCGAGTGCCCTGAAGATTCTAAGGACGATAGCTAGAAAGCTGTGGTCTTTGTAGCATCAGTGTAGTTGAAGGCCAGAGTGTGTTTCTCTTTGCTCGTATTGTGGCTGTACTCAAAGCCTGGATGATTGAGGGCTCCAAGGATGTGTCACAGTGCTTTTTCAGTTGGCTTTCCTTTCCTTTCCCTTCCCTTCCCTCCTCCCCTCCCCTCTTTCTGGTGTACTGGGGATTGAATCAGGGACACTTTACTGAGCTGCACCCCAGCCCTTTCTTGGTTAGAGGCAGGGAGGGTCTCCCTAAGTTGCTCAGGCTGACCTGGAACTTTTGACCCTCCTGCCTCATCTGGAGTGATAGGGGTGCGCCTAGGCCCATTTCAGGTGGTTTTTTCACCCTCCACTCAGCTTGTTATTACACAGAGAACTTGGGCACTTAGAGTTTTTCCTTTGGTACGGTTTTTAATATTAAGAGGGCACATTTGATTATTATCTTCATACAAGTAAACACTTTAATTTTTTAGTTTACTGTTGCCTGCTTTAAAATGGTTATATATTCAGAGGCCCATAGTTATCTCTGCTTAAAAAGTGAATCGTTCAAATGTCAAGAACAGAAAAGCAGAAATAGATCCAAGTATTTATAGATGGTTACACATGAAAGAGGGTTTATGTCTAATCAGTAAAAGAAGAACAGGTTGTTCAATAAATGATGTTGACAAACTGCTTAAGTATTTGTGTAAAAATGATTGTATGCCTACAACATAATATACACTAAATTAAATTCTCATTGTATTACATGCTCAGAAAATGAAATAAAAAATATTGAAGAGTAAAAAAAAAAAGTGAATCGTTCAAAAACTTTTTCTGTTTACTAAGAAGAGTGGGATCTGTATGACCCTTGGAGCCCTCTCTGGCCTCTTCTGTTGCCACTCCTTTCAGTGACTCTGCCTCTGATTCACTGTCATGCTGTGGCCACTTTACTTTACCTTCAAAATGAGGAGGCAACACTGCGAGGACATACCAGAGGGTACGGAGTTTGATGGCTGTTATGATTCGGACTTTGCCCATGTTGGTTGGGTGATCTTGGGTACCTTCTAATAGCTGCTAGTATTCGTGTCCCCACCCCCTGGGGACGGGGGTTACTGGGATTGAACTCTCTGGGGCACTCTACCACTGAGCCACATCCCCAGCCCTATTTTGTATTTTATTTAGAGACGGGGTTTCACTGAGTTTCTTAGCACCTCGCCATTATTGATGCTGCCTTTGAACTCGCAATCCTCCTGTCTCAGCTTCCCAAGCCGCCTTGACTTATAGGCATGGCTTCTAGTATTCTTAGTTTGTCAATTGTATGACGGAAAGTTCCTAGGTATAAAATATAAGATGAAGATATTGAAGTTAATAACATTTCTAGATACCAGCAACAATGAGTGTTCATGAACATTGGTTGGTTGGTTGGTTGTGGTACTAGGGATTGAATCCAGGTCCTCATGAGTGCTCTACCCTTGAGCTACATCCCAGTACCCACCCCCACTCCCTTTTGAGACGGGAACTTGCTTGGTTGCCCTTAGTTGCCCAGACTTTTGATCCTGCTGCAGAAGGAGAGGCCGTGACTACTGTGGTGTACATGCACTTTGGGTCTGCACCATCACTTTCCCGTCAGCCTTGTTGCTACGGCCCTTCCCGAAAGACTACACTTCTTTAAAAATAAACCACACTTGGCTGCCCCTCAGTCCGTGGGCAGTGCTCTCTGAGGCTATGTGTGATGCTGGCTATTAGGAAACATGTGCCTCTTCTGTTTGAATTGCTGTTGTTGAAGAGTTGCGTTTCCAGAAGAAGAGTATGGACCCTCGTGGGCAACAGACATTTTAATTTTTACTCCATGTTCGAGATGGAGAGTGTCCCTTTGCTGGGGGTGGGTTACGGTCATCACTGGGAGGACATGTGTATGTTCACAGGTTCTGCTCACAGCTGTGCCTGCTGGCTGATGGATGGGCCAACACAACCACGGCAGCAACGCAGACCATCCTTCCGCAAGCTTGTGGTGATTCAGAGGAGGAGTCTTGCCAGCATATTGAATTAAATGCAGCAGGTGAAGTAAAAAAAGACCTCTGATTCCTTGAGCCGGCACATTGAAGGCACACTTACAAGTGCAGGGGTGGGTACTGGGGCTTGGGAGGTAGTTGCTACGTGCCCACTGGGCTGTGTGTCCTCAAAGTACGTGGTCTTACCTGCTGAGAAACATCACCTGCCTTCGAATCCTGCTTTATCTGCCCTCCTCAGGGGCATTTCCCATCACCTTTGGTGTTCTTGTGCAGTTGTGTGGTCGTACCAGTTAGACCCTAGCTTTGGGGCTCCGTCCTGTTTCTGGGGTCCTAGCAGTTTCTCCATCTCATGCTTCGTTGCTTTAGTTGTTGGATGCTCACCAGACATTAGATCATCAGACTCAGAGGCCTTGGTTTTTAGACTGCATGTGGGTGGTGCACCTGTGTGAGCTTGGTGCTGCCGTGCCTGGTGCGGAAGGGCCTGGCCTTGCCCTGCAGAGCGTGTGCTGGGCCCTGGCAGTCACGCTGTGGAATGTGTGGGAAAGGGCTGTTGCCAGCATATTGAGCTGTCCTTGAGCTGATCCCTGGGGACGGCACCTCGTGTCTGCGCATGCTTACCTTGGGGATTCTGCTGCAGCAGTGAAGCAGACCCACTGCTCTGGTACTCCTGGATGTGATGCCTTTAGTAGAATCTGCACATATTTATGGCTTTTCCTAAGTGAGGCTTCTCTGCCTTACTTTGTGGGGAAGGGAAGAAAGATTTTTCAGTTTAGAGGGAACTATCTTTGTTGGGATTATTGCATAACTATAATTGGAGGTTTGGTCTTTGTGGGCCAGGTCATTGATTGCTTATTAGATCTTTTTGGGAAGCACAAAAAGAAATAACAGTTTTGTGACCCTCACCCCCAGAAATGCAGAACGCAGAGCATCCTGAGGAAGTGGAAGTGTGCAGGACATAAACTGTGATGATCCTTTGAGTCTTTGAAATGCCTTGGGCCTGCTCCTGTGTAGTCCTTTGTCTCTTCTGGGCCTGCTTCTCTCTATGGGTGGAGCAGGCTAGGTAGTGGTAGGTAGGGGTCTTCAGTTTCCTGTGGGTAATACACCTCACTTATCTTCCTGGTGGAGTCTCCTCTTTACTATGGTTAAAGGAAAGAGTTGAATGTTGCTAATCTTGTGCGTAGATGTAGCTGCTTTCTTCTCTTAGGTTGTGTCAGCACTGGGGCCAGCAAGGTGGCTCGTGGCACTTTTGTTTGTGTTGTTCCTGTAGGAGGGCTTCTAGCCTAATAGTCTAGTCTTCCTTGAGTTGACAGAACAGTATTTTGAAAGCCTCATTGTTAGTACAAGGTGGAGACAAAAAAGGATATATAACTTGGCCTGTGCAGCCAGAGAGCTCCAGAAGCAGCAAGTGTGGAGTGGAGGAAAGGATACTGCTTGGGCCACATACGGTTCATGAGTAAGGCAGGACCACGGGGTTTAGGAAGAAGCTCAAGGTCAGGAGGGCTTCTTAATAATACTGTGTGCATTATTCCATTTCTGATTCTCTGTCTAAGCTACATTTATTTGTGGTGAATTTTCATCTTTTTGAAAGATGTTGACTGATGAGAAGGGTGCAGGGTGCTGAGAGGCTGAGGGTGGAGCACGGTTCCCGATGGTGATGTATGTGTGAAGCAGCCTGTGTCATGTTTGTTAACACAGCCAGTTGTACTGTGTGTGTGTGTGTTTTAAATATCAAGGATTGAGCTCAGAGGCACTCAACTACTGAGCCACATCCCCAGCCCTGTATTGTATTTTATTTAGAGATGGTCTCACTGAGTTGCTCAGTGCCTTGCTGTTGCTGAGGCTGGCTTTGAACTTGTGATCCTCCTGTCTTAGCCTCTCAAGCCTCTAGGATTATAGGCTTGTGCCACTGCGCCCAGCAAGTTGTGCACTCTTTGGTTCTTTATCACCTGGAAGTTCCCTGTGCTGTGACTGTGTGTGTACACACAGCCATGGGACTATGTGACAGTGTTGGGCTCTGAGGCTGCAGTGATCAGCAACAGGAGCCACCTTTAGGTGCTTATGAGCTTTTGGAGAAGGGCTCCCAGATATAGTGGTGACATAGGGTAGAAATATAAAAGCCACCCATGTCCACCTTATACAACGTGAAAAATGCTGTATAGAGAAGGATGTCAAGATCTGAGCTTGATTTTGAAGACTTAATAGGAGTTTTCCAAGTGTGCAGAGTGGTAAAAAGGGCCGGGTAGGAGGAGGGTCTCTCCTAAATTAAAAGATGTTTGAAGTTGTTTGGAGACCGACCGTTCAAAGTCACATGCGCCAGTGGCCGTCCTGGGAGCTGCAGCAGGGATGCACCTACCTCCGCACAGCCCACCAGTGAAAAGCACTGAGCCACCACATGGAGGACCCTTTGCTCCAGCCTGTTTGTGTACCCCTGAGCACGTCCTCATGTGTCCTGCGTGTCTCATGTGGGCATGGAGGTTGAAAACCTCAGACATATTCCTTGTCAGCCCGGTGGCCTCCATAGACCAGAGAATGTAGACGAGAGGTGTGTTAGATGTGGCAAACCCAATTCTCAGCAGTGTGGGTGATAAGTTAGGTGGTGTGTGGAGTTGGGGTGGAGGTAATGCAGGAGGAGCATTGAGGTGCTGTCGAGTTAGAAGAGGTGAGGGCAGTGTGGTAACAGGAAGGAGATGGTGATCTTTAGGAGCTGGGCATGGCGGGCATGTTGGATTTTGGTATTGAGGGAGAAGGGGCTCCATTTCCAGTTGGGAAGAATGCCTGGACAGGGGCACCTGAGGCAGGACAGGAGTGCAGGAAGAACAGTGGTCTGAGCTAGGTATGTGCTGTGTCTATGAGGAGGGCAGTTGCAGTGGGAGGTCATTTCTCTCTCCCTTACCCCCCACTCCCACACATCCTGTAGTGCTAGGGATTGAACCCAGGGCCTTGTGCATGCCAGGCAAGCACTCTACCAACTGAGTTATATCCCCAGCCCAGGAAGTCATCTCTGGTGGACAGTGACCCATGAATTCAGGAGGGATTTTTCTGACCTGCAGTAGGAATTAAATAGCATAGTAGTTAAAACCACACAGGCTGAAGAGATGGAGAAAGCAAGAGGTAAAGAGCAGGTGAGAAGAAGCCCTCATAAGCGAGCGAAAGCAGGAGAAGCAGGGAGTGGCCTGGAGTCAGTGAGTATTCTGTTGGATGACCACTGCCGCAAGTCCCCTTCAGAGCCTGTTTTGTTCCTGGGTTATGTGGAGAGTTACCTGAGCCTGCCCTGTCTTTTGGAGGTGTAAATTATTTCTTTGCATTGTGCTGGTATTGGGCCAGGGAGGCTTTGCCAGTTACAGCCTTAAAATGCTCTCCAGGATCCCCTGACAGCAGCATGTGGATTGGCAGAGGACACGTGGCCATCGTGGACCCAGGCTCTGAAGCTGGAGCGTGGCCCCGGCTTTAGGCTAGTTATTCAGTCTCTCAGAACTTAGTTTCTCACAAGAACATGGAGACACCTCTGACGTGCTGTGATGAGGGCTCTGTAACACCATGTGCAGGGGCGGTGCTTGCTGCCCCACCGGGACTGCAGGGCTGTTGCACAAGCTCTTATACCCGTGCTTGTGCCAGGATGCCCTAGCCCCCCATGTGACCATGAGCAGGCAGCCCTCGAGCAGGAGTTTGCTGTCACCCCTCCTCTGCATCTCATCTTTGTTCCTATAGAGTCCCTGAATGTTCTTGATAAAGTATCAGCTTCTGTGGAGCCACTTCTGGGAACTAGAGGCTTTCAGTAAATGGAAAGGAGAGCTGGGAGTGGCATAAACAGGTGTTTCTCAGCCTGTACATCCACCTGCAAAGGGTGCAGGGGCTTCTTCCTCTATGATGGCGGAAGCAGGACAGAGGGCAGAATGCAGGTAGAGCTGATGAAGGTGAGCCCCAGATAGGAATTGTGAAGATGACACACAGGAACAAGCTCACCTTCTTGGCCAGAGGAAGGCTCCTACCTGTTGGGTGGAGCCTTGATCAAAGAGAGAGAGGTGCTGTGCTGCAGTCGTGGTCAGACTCAATATCGGGTGGGCCGCAGAGTGCAGTTCCTGTCCTTCTCCAAGCATGCTTTTAGGAAAGGAAAAGCTCAGCAGTTGGAGTCTGAGCAGAGGCTCTCTTGCCCTGCACTTCTGTTCTGTGTCCACAGTGGGTGCTTCTTCCTTCCTTGCTTACTCCACATGGACAGTGTGTCCATCACACCTCAGATGTTAGGGTATACAAATTACTGCCCAGGGCTCACGGTCTAAATGAAAAGAATATTTCACCTATAGAGGCAGGGATGTGTTTTCCTTTTGGGGGGGTGGGGCTGCTGGGGATTGAACCCAGGGGTGCTTTACCCCTGAGCAACATCCTGAGTCCATTTAAAATTTTTATAAAATTTGAGACAGGGTCTCACCAAGTTACCCAGGCTGGTCTTGAATTTTGTGATCTTCCTGCCTCAGCCTCCTGAGTTGCTGGGATTACAAGTGCACACTGCTGTGACTTGTGATAGGGATGTATTTTTAAAAGAAAGAATGTTATGTTGGATATGGAAAGTGGTTTTAGGGTTTTATAGATTAAAAGTCTGAGAACTCAGGGGCACTCAACCACTGAACCACATCCCCAACCTTGTTTTGTATTTTATTTAGAGACAGGATCTCATGGAGTTGCTTAGCACCTCACTTTTGCTAGGACTGGCTTTGAGCTTGACCTCCTGCCTCAGTCTCCAGAGCTGCTGGGATTACAGGTGTGCTCTGAACTCCAGAGATAACAATTAAAAAAAAAATTTGGAAAAAAATCTCGCATTACAGGAGTACTAGTTATACCAACTATCTTCCTCCTCCACTCTCAAAACAGGCTGAAGAAACTTAGGGTTCTATAAGGTGTAGAATATGATCTGTTCAAGGGCAAGCGTTTAAAATCCCCTGCAAGCTCTAGGATTACTTGTTAAGTTTGGGGGATGAAGAGGAAGTTGGGCTTTGTTTTCTTTTTTTTCTTCTTGCAGGTGGACACAATATTTTGTTTATTTTTATGTGGT